TTCACTCATTTGCCTTCATTATCGTATGTCCTTACCTTCTGATTACTCTCTTCTTCAGATCATTTATATGATCTACAAAAGAGATTTATTCAAAAATAGGAATTATATGAAGATTGACAAGTTGGCGACTCCTTTCAAAATAAAAGAGAGAAAGTGAATGAAAACAATTATCAATTGGATGCTTCCTACAAATGCACACAATTAATCCAATTAATCATAGTTGACATCGAATCTTCTATTTTAGTAGTTACTTGAAATGATCTAAATTTGAGTTGAGTCAAAGATGTAGTGTGAGCCTAAACACTTCAACCCATTATATTTTAAATAAAGGTATTGTGAAATTTCAAATTTCGCTAAAATCTCTCCATAAATAACTAGTTAAATCCCAACTTGATCTACCCAAAACTATCGTGAAACCTAATTCAACTTAGAAAGATCAAAGTTAACATATCTAAACAAAAAATTACGAGAATCAACTCTTAAATATAAATATAATACAAGAAAGAAAACACAATCAAATATTTACAACTTTGAGTTTAGTTTTGACATTTGCTAAAAAATCTCAAATGCCAAAAACATGAGATTAAATGGATGAAATCTCAAATAAGTAACTTTATAAGGTAGAGAATGAGTATTACCTTCGATTACACAAAGAAAATGAGAAGAATGAAGCCTTAAATAGACGAATCGAGTGGGCTACGACAAAGTCTTTATCGGTCGAGAGGGAGAGCACGTGAGGGAGAAGAAATGAGATTATCTACTATCAGGTTCGATATATAACAAACATAGACAGACTAACCTGTCGCCTTGTCCGTCAGAAACTTTTATGACTGAATTTCTTTCGGTAAAGCCATCGGAGACAACTAACAGATGAAACTATCGATTTTCCATCAAATTTTCACTCTAACAAACTTGTATTATGCGATAATAACATAAAAATGGTTGGTTTTCTCATTGGTTTGGATAGTTTTCCTATAGTGATGAGACCTATATAATCACTTTCTGGAATTATATGCAACTTAAGCATGCCTTGCAATGTCCCCCGTCAACATCATAGAATATCTATGATTGAAGTGCTTCTATGCTTATTCATATGTTGGATGACACGAAGAACTTAATTCACCCCATCTTTTTTTATGTCATCTCATATGTTTAGCAGTACATTTAAAAGATATATCTTTGAAGATATGAAATGATTAGCAGATAAAAAACACGTTTGTACGAAATTTCTTTCTATTTTCATTTTTTTCGGCTCTATAATTTTAATCTTGCACCTTCACAAAATTTTACATTCAATCTTTCTTATATCATTCTTATAGTATAACATGCAGTCATTGACATAACAATTTATTTTCTCTAAAGTCAAATAAAATTTAGACACTAATTTTTAAAGAAATAAAAATCTTTTGGCACTAAGTTCTACTTTGGGTTAGTCTTTTTTAATAATTATGTACTCTCATAAAAATATCATGGGGCATATTAGACTCAGTTTTGATGCTCACAATAACCGTTGCAAGACATTTGATAGTTCGTAAAATTTCTAATCTTTTATGTTTGATGACTCATTCTTCACTTTACCAACAAACTAAACTTTTATTACATTAAATACTATTTCTACATATCTACTAAAATCATATTCATTTGGAGAAGCAGAGCTTGTTGAAGCACTAGCAAGATAATCAATATTTGGTTTATACTCAGCATGTGAAGTTCATAACTAATACTTTGGTTGAAATCTCGCATATTGACATCGAAACTTATCCTCTGAAAAGTTGATAAATAATTGAGATGATGTTTGCATGAAATACTCAACACCATTCGAGACTCTTAAGTAATTTTTTTTTACCCGAATGCAATCTATTATACATCTATGATGTTTCATTCTGAATATCCACAAGAGACCTATAAATGTGAGAATAAAGGTCTAAAGATGGTTACAACTAATATGATGATATGTGAAGATAAGAATACCTTAATATGAACAGCTTATTTAACTAAGTTTAATACAAAGTTATGTAATTGGTACACTATACTAAGATAAATAACACAATGTAAATGCCTTAGCAGCTCCATGTGCACATCCTAAAAATTATATTTGATTACAAAGCCAATGATTATTTTATATGTTATTTGATAGCACATGACATGGGAATTTATTATATGATTGATTGTAATCTTCTAAATGAGATCTCATGCAACATGCTTGAATACACATATACCGTCAATTTCAAGGTCTCGTTCAAACATCATTTCAAACTTAGGAGAGTTATCAACTAAATGCTTCCTGCCAATATACAAAATTAATCCAACTAATCATATTTGACACCGAATCTTTTATTTTAGTAGTTACTTTAAATGATCTAAATTTGAGTCGAGTCAAAAAAAAAAGTGTTTGTGCCTAAATGATTCAACTCGTTATATTTTAAATCAAGGAGTTGTGAAATTTCAAATCTCGCTAAAATCTCTCCATAAATAATTAATCAAATCTCAGCTTGACCTAACCAAAACTATTGTGAAAGCTAATTCAACTTAGAACGAACCCTAATCCAAGTTAACACATTAAAAAAAAAATTACAAGAATCAACTCTCAAAAAAAAATATAATACAAGAAACAAAGCACAATCAAATGTTTAACAATTTTGAGGTTAGTTTTGACATTTGCTAAGAAATCTCAAATGCCTAAAACATGAGATGTAATGGATGAAATCACAAATAAGTAATTTTATAAGGTAGAGATTGAGTATTACCTTTGATTACACAATGAAAATGAGGAGAATAAAGGCCTAAATTGACGAATCGAGTGGGCTACAACAGTCTTTATCAGTCGAGATCATGTGAGGAAGAAGAAAGAAATAAGAGTATTGGTTGTCAGATTTGATATATAACAGAAATCGACAGACTAACTAGCAGCCTTGTCCATCAAAAACTTGTATGACTGAAAGAAAAAACTTTTATGACTGAATTTCTTTCGATAAAGTTGTCGGAGAACTAACGGATAATCAACTGATTTTCCATCAAAATTTCACTCCGAAAACTTATATTATGTCAATAATAACAAAAAAAAATTGTTGGTTATTTTCGCTGGTTTGGATAGGTTTTTCTGTGGTAACGAGAGTTGTATGATCTACAACACAAGCATGCCTGATAATGTCCCCCCATCAACATCATACAATATATACTAGGTTGATTGCATTCAATGGCCAAGGACCCATGCTCAATCCTAATGGTTACTAATCAAATTTGACATAGAGTGCAAGTTAATATTCATAAATTAGATCACCTCAATAAGTTTGCAAAGGTACTACAGGATCCCCATAACAAGACTAATCTTGAGGCTATGAATTCTCATTCTTAAATTTGTGGGTCCCATCAATTTGCTTTTTCAATATTCAGAGTCATAAGAACAACTTTAAAATTTTACTTGCCCTCAAGGATGCCAGTCCTACTGCTGGGTATTGTCATAAATGTACGTCAGAAATCAACTGACAAGGTAATACAAACTTAATTTGCGTGTTAAATGAAAGCTTAATTGTTGGGTCTTCCCACATATGAAAGGCTCAGCTTTGATCTAGTATGTAAAAATGTTACAAGCTGCCAAATAACGATGTAGGTTAGCTTCCATGCTAATAAGTCTGTCAAGAAAACTTACGCCAACTAATAAGCCGATAAATCAAATAAATTATAAACAAATCAATCAAAACCCAATGTACCCTAGACATACTTCCTTGAGTCAAACTAGAATTCATGGACAGCGAATGGGTTATGTTAAGCTTCTAAGTCCTTATCAAACACATCTACAAACTTTAAAGTTTAAGTGGAAATTTTTATGTCCCTCTAAATCATTTAATCAAGCTGAATATTGAAAGAATGCATATGGAATTTTATTAATAATTAAAAAAGAAATACAAAGAATGCCATTTAGGCATTTAGATGAGATCTATCAAAATAAACAAAAAATAAAAATAAAAAGAAGAGCATGAGATCTATCTTTATCTCCACAAAAAAGCCACTCAGTAAAAACACATGTGCACAATAATATATTGCTTTATTCTTTTTCTCTATGAACATGTTGAAAAAGCTCGTCTAAAAAGTACATATTTGACATGCATTTTCACCCATAGCCTACTCGAGATACCTAAGATGAGATAACTCATAGTTATTAAACAAGCATTTCGACATTGCAACTTAAATTCCCCGGATATTCGCAAAATGAATTCGCTAACATAAATAATAAATATGAGACTAAAATAAGCCTAAGAGTGATCTCCCATGATTCGGTAGGAATAATTAAATGTAGGACTTGATGCTCATAAGAAGTATTAATCCTTGATCTAAATAGACCCCAAATCCAACCTCAAAAACAAACCTTAACTAAGTCAATCCAAGTTAAAGAAATTAGTCATGTGTTCTCACGTCATTCAAGGACACGAATTTTCCTCCAGTGCTTACATTTAAAGCAAAAAATTTAACCAATCAAACAAAAAAAAAAACTAATTTTTAGTTTTATCAAAAGCTATATTACTACATTACTACATGAAACTTGTTGTAGTTCCCACAAAAAAAGCCAAACTAAAAATGTAATTTGGATCTGAAGTGTCTCACTAAATACCAAAAAATTGACGTTATTGATAAAATTTTTGAGACCATTTAAATGCCTTTTCAAAAAAGCAAAGAATATTATGGAACTAACTCATTATATATACACACCCACTCACACACGTGTGTGTGGTTCAATAAGTAACATAATTGGAGATCAACACCATGAATTTAAAAATTAGTCAACTAAAATATAAATTTCATGAGTTGAATCATTGTGTATAAATAACTACAAGAAGATCAAGCATTTAGAAACTTTTCATCTACTATTTTAATTGACTTTGGGTCTTATCCTTCACATACAATGAAAAAGGCCATATAGTAAAGCCATATTGTGGGATAGAACATTTATAAATCAAGTATATGTAAGTTCAATCGTATCAACGATATAACTAGCAACTGACCTTTACTAAGCCCGCAAATAGCACAAATTTTGAAGTTTTTCTCGGAAAAATATAGCACCATAGCTAGTAAATCATCTGCTTCCTTGCGAAAATCTCCAAATTTAAGTTCACCTTCACTTTCCCTAGAGAGCATAGTATCACTCAAAAAGTCAAAGTAGATACACTTGTATGGCAAAATTAAAATCAAAATTAACCAAAGTTAGAAAAAATGTATAATACATAAGAACATAAGAAGCCGACATTAAAAGCTAGAAAGATCTCATTATTTTATAACTAGGACACAAACAAGAAGAAATAAGCTTGTATAGAAGGCATAATCATCTTCAAATAGTCATTTACTTCAATACAAATAATCTGTACTATATGAATTTTTCAAGGTTTTTTCTGGAATAACACTATTAAAAATTCATATATATATATGCAAAACACAATCAACTAAACTTGATAAAATGCATAAACTTCACGTATTGCGGAAGAAAGCCTCAAATCCAGATTATCATTTATGCTAACTGCTAAGGCTTAATATGCTTTGAACTGACCAAGGAAAGATGAGTTGTTAATCATAAATTCATTATACAGTATCTACAACAAATTTTAGGAATGCCCAAAAGCAAATATGGTAGCATGACAGATCAGCATCAAAAGTTGTAGCAATCTAAGGACACAATTGGATTGATTGTTTTTGTAAGTTTTTTTTTTTTTTTTTTTTTTTTTTTTTTGACTCGAACAAAGATCATAATCACTAAAATATTCTAATTATTCCCATTTATATATATAATAGCATATTGAAGACTAAAAAAAAGAGTAGAATTTAATCTATTGATATTGGAGTTAACCCAACCCACAATAGAAAAATCAAATATTACTACTAAAAAAAAAATTCATAGTTATGAACAAACACACTTGAAAGAAAAGTAGCAACAAACACGACAAAAACTAACACTAAGACTCAATCTATGGGTGGTGGAGGTCAACTAGGTGGTTGGGGAGCAGAGATAGATGACTGAAATGGGTAATAGGTGGTTGGAACAACAAAAAGGAAGCCCTGAAATCGTGTTGGAAGCAAGTGGAGGGCTGAGATAGTGAGGGCAGCAAATAGGGTGGCAAGAGGAACGGCGAGGCATGAATAGAAAGGCTGGAACAGCCAACGGAAAGCAGTAAGACAACAAGATTGTAATTTTTCCGATGACGACAGGGAAGGGATGAAGCGGGGGACTGCTCCACAGCAAGATTCAACAAGGTAGTTGTCTGGGGAGGTAGTAATGAGCAAGAAGGTCCAGAATTGGAAGACTATAGTGAAAAAACAAACGATTATTGTTTGGGGCAGTTGTAGCGATGGAGGATGGTTGGGAGCGTCGTAAGAAAGATGCAGAAGGGGGTAGGGGAAGATAATCACCACCTTGGAAAGAGATACAGCTGGAGCGCCATCCAATCTCTCAAATACAACCCTCGAAGGGAGGAATGGACATCGGTGGTTGTCTTAAACAAACTCACGCCAAAAACTAAACCCAGAACATCAAGAATACAAATATATAGAATACTCCGTTCCTCATTAAGAGAGAATTTTGTCATTTTGACATTTTTAATTAATTGAATGTGACTCATAAAGGAGACCCTAGTCAAAATAAAGGAATTCAAACTAGAATTTAAAGGCGGAGCTATGAAGAGGGCAATAGAGGGCTCTAAAGAATGACTTATCAAAACTAAATTCTACAGCACAACAAAGTAATGTTATAATATATGCAATAAGATTAGAACAATTTTGTATTGAGTAGTATTTGTTATTATTATACCAAAGAAATGAGGCTTATTTCATCCTCATTCGAGCAACTAGCCTATGCTTGTGAGTTTCCAGACAATATACCACTGCAATAGAAGAATTATTCCTTTGCGGTAATTACCGCGAAGTAATAAACAATCTTCATTTGCATGGACGGTTGAAGAAGATTGTTTAGCATTATATGTTTGAATTAGTGACTTAATTTGATGAGTTTTGTCATCAATATTAAGTCCGGTCCATCATTTGAGTAGAAGTATCTTTGAGAAAATGATGGTTAGATGTATCTTTGCCTAGGGTTATAGTCCAAACCCAAACATAAGGAATTTTGCAATTGTGAAAAAATAAACCAAATTTTGGTCCTGCAATATTTTTTAAGAACTAATGCTTTTCATTTTGGGAGAAGCCTCAACCCATTCTTTATAATAATTTTCGAGAACTTATTCTTCATGTTATTAGCATTTTTCAAGGGCTATTTTGTATGTTTTGTGAGCAATTTTAATAAATATTTTTCTGGTTGTTTTTCTTTGTCACATTTATTTGGTTTATTTAATTGAAACAAAGATTTGATTTTGATGATAAAACTTATATATCTAATAGTAATAAATTTGATTTGATGATAAGACATATTTTTTACATCTGATAGCCTATGTTAGTATCTAATATTTCTTTAAAAATGTATTTTTAATATTGCATGAAGAAAATATTTGAATAACTATTGTTTGATATTAGAAAAATGTTTGCATCTCTCTTGTGCATAATTTATATACTTTATTTAGTATATTTGCTTTTCTTCTTAAAATTATTTGAGATATTTTTTATTTCAAATAAAAATTACGTATTAGCTTACTTTCAATAGGGGAGGAATTTCTCAAGCATGTTAATTCTTAATTATTTGTTCACATATTCAATGTACTTATGTTTTTAATAGACGGGAGAACATTCATATTGATTTGCAATTCGCTAAAATTTAACAAAACCACCAACTAAAGAAAAAATTTGTACATTAAGAAGTATGTTTGACATGTTTGATTCTACTTTTCAAAATAATGATTTTTTACATCATTTTTTTTTTCAATTCATTTATAGAAGTATGTATGTTGCTATTTACATTAGTTTTCACATGTATATATTTAGGTTACCACACTTGAGATCTGAATCTGTCTTGTTTATTTTTATTTTTAAATTAAAACAACACTATTAATAAATTAGAACTTTTAAGAAAATAACATGAACTAGTTTTCATGATCATGTAGGAAAAGAAAACACATCCAGTTAACAATAACACACATTGCAAGAAGATAATATTTGAAACCTTTTTCCAAAGAAACTTACCCATTTCCAGAAAAATCAAAGTGCAAGGCGCTTATGCCTTCTCTTGTTAATGCAGAAATGATATTAATAAACTGTATGTCATCCTGAAATAGTAAGATTCAAAAACATAATATTGTCACTAGCGGGTTACTAACTAAAGAAAATAAAAATAAAAATAAAAATAAAACAACGAAAATAAATACAAAAAAAAATATAAGGCGCAATTGCCTTCTTGAACTTTACATGCAGATATGTAGCATATTTCTTATATTTCTTGTGGCTTGTTTGGCAATTAATAAAAGCACGCTTTCAAGAATTCTTAGGTTTTGTTTGCATGGATTTATGACTTATTTCAAATAAAAAAAATTTTAGACTAAATTTTAGGATACTGTGTAATATAAATTATAAGAAATTTCTTTTGTCAAGAAAATCTGAATGTGTGTTAAGATCTCTGGTTAGACTCAGTAAAAGAAGAAGTAAAACTCAATTATGGATAAGATTGAGGTGATCTACTGGTTAAATTATCTATTATTCCTTCAAAACAAACAAAAAAGGAAAATAAATTTACCACACAATCTCTCCTCCAACCAAACAAGTGGATCAAAGCTAATTTTAATTCAATTCATGAATCATTTCCATTTACATTTTAAATTTCATTTCTTCTAATTCAATTCCTTTAAACAAACAAAGCCCCAAGGAGAAGAAAACAACCTGGGATATGAGGTTAAATATCCTAAGGACGTTAAATATTCTAAGAACACAATCCATCGAGTCATTAGAAAAAAAAATTAGTCAATCTTAAGCAAGCTAATATCATACATGAGAAAGAACAGAAAAAATTAGTCAATCTTAAGCAAAGCTAATATCATACATGAGAAAGAACAGAAAAAATTAGGAGCCATTTGGACGAGTTTTATTTAGTTTTTGTATTTTTTATTGATTTTTTTTCCTTTTTATTTTATTTAGTTTATGTTTTGACAAATAATAAAAGAACATATGATATTTTAAAAAGAATAGAACTACTCTTCTAGCCATCAAATCTATAAGCTTCTGCAACTCTTTATACTTGGCTGACTGTATCCTATAAATTGACTGGTGGGTAGCACTAATCCTAGAAAGATGTATATGACATTGAATCTCTCGTATGGTTGACAATCTAGGTGGCAGGCTGTCAGTAAGAATATCCTAACACTCCAATAAAGATCGCATTGCTTGCACATTAGCTCCTCCATATCACTATCCTATGGCATCACCAAGGCCATTCGCACATGCCTCTCTCATAGCTCGTAGAAACGTGATATGAAATATTACAACTCATGTCTCTATTAGTGTGCTCATCACTATTGACTCATTTGAAAATAGTAATATGTGTATTTCTTCTTTAATAAACGAGACATTTTTGTGGCCATTATGAGGTGCACCCATGTCATACTAACACACCGACGCAAAAGGATATGACATGGACCCATAGACACGATATCACACCACAATCGATCATGCAGCTTATCTCCAATTAAAAAAACTCTATAAAGCATCTCTTATTGACACTGAACAAATTCCCCTTCTTCAAATGAGTCAAGAATATGATTAGGATTGCATTTGAGTAGTGAGCTCAATTTATCCATTATTTATGCATATACCACATTTTTACAACCCCTCAATCTATAATGATAATGTATAACTTCACTTTCACAATACAACGAATACAATAAATATTATGCCTTAACCACTACTGATCACTCTTAGGTTTGGTCTGGAGGCTCGCCTAACCACAAGCATCTTACTTTCAATTGTAGGTAGTTAGTACTCTTTAGTCACCTCTCTTGGATCTTGCTTCTCTACCTCCTCCAGTGTCCTTTACTCAGTAAAAAAATTACTCTCGTGTTCGAATAGTTAGATGCAACGTATCTGTATCCATGACACTTGAAACAGTTCTTGACTAGAAATTTTTCAGGAGTGTTGGTCCACTTAGTTCTCTTTTTCACCTGTATTGTTTCTCCTCGCGATGGACGTGTTTGGGGACTCTGGTCAATGTGCTCTTATTATTCAATCTAATGGCCGAAGTTCTAATACTATTGTATTGTCTCTTTATTTTCAGGGATAAGGTCTGAACAACATTTAATATCCAATAAGGCTGCAACTGCATCATCTTTTCAATGGACGATCTCAACCCTAAAAAAACAAGGGCTATGATATTCCCATATGGCTCCAGCATAAGCTGCTTAAACTCCGTGGTGTATTCTGTTATTGAGATGTATTCTATTGTAGGGGATAAAGTCTCAAGAAGAAGTCATGTCTGTAATATGTTGGCAAGTACTTCTGCTACATCCTACTTTTCATCTTATAATAGGTTGTAATTTTGCTTTTTCCCTCATACTAATGTAGGAGCTTCATTTTTTTCCACCACAAAAAAACACAGCTTTATCTTAATAGCAGTTCACTTTACTCTTCTTCCAGGTAAATGTCTCTTCACTCAAAAATTCATTCGACTATCTAGAGCCACTCGTGAATTCACATAGATCCATACGACTATTAAAATCCAATAAATTAACCTTTATTCAAAAATTACCCTTTCCACCTATAATCAATGCAAAATTAATGTGACAATGACTCTGAGTCACTTTGAGCTCTTGGTGAAAAGGGCTTTCTTCATCTCCAATGGGTGATCACTATTTGTTACTATAGGTGACTTCCTAACATTGGATCCTCTCAAATCAGTAAGCCTCCATTATAATTTGAGAATTTTTCATTGCATATCCTCTATGGTAAGCTCTGAAATACCTTCTTTAGAGTTTCTTCTTGGAGGTATAGTTTTTTTTCCCTTGCTTTAGAGTTTTGACTGATGCAGGATTGTGGATCAAAGGTTAGTCTAGTGTTTAGTTTTATGTGGTACGAGTCGGGATAGATTTTTTGTGGCAGTAGAATAGTTAATTTTTTAAAGTTTAGGATTATGACTAGAAATTGAGGTTTAGACGATTAAGAAATTGAGTTGGTATAAAACTTATATGTAGATTCTAAGTTTAGAAGCGAGAAAAATAAATCCGTAAAAAGTTAGAGTTTGTCAAACTCTAATGTCAAATGACACCGTTCTAAAGTTCCTAGAAGGTGTTTAAGTATCGTACTTAGTGGAGAGAGGTTGTAAAATGAAAAGAAGAAGAGAATATGTGAAATCAATGGTGATTGAAAAGAGACTGAAGAAACTTGGGCGGTTGTCCGGTCTGAAAACAGCAAGGTGAATATTGAAACGACGAGGTATGGATGACGAGGAGAATCCACCACATGCTTTCTACAAGATACAGATTCACCGCAACAAGAAAATTAGGTTTCAACTCTCCAAATAAGAGAAAACAAGGAGAACATCTACAAATAACATAAACCAAAGAAAAAATTTCCAAAATAGGGAATAACAACATATAAATTGTCTCACGCAAAAATTAAACCTAATTCAAATCAGAACAGCATAAAAAGGGGCCCACAAGGGTTGGTCCGATTCAATAGCGGGAAAATTCCCTCTACAAATCTCCCAAATTGGGTGTTTTTGCTCACCTTCCCATTACTGATTCTGCATATAAGGGATCACACGGTTAGCTCTTGCGTTAAGGCACTATTTACAGAAGGAGAGGAGAAAGAAAGAGTGGTCCAGGGTAGGGAAGAGCAAAATAGAGGAAAACATGATAAGTAAACAAAAAGATCCAGCGTATGTGATCATTCAACATTAGCTGCCTACTGCAAGACCTTGAATTAGAGAAAACTAAATATTCAAGAAACATAACATACTTCATATTTAATAAAATCCCGTAGTTCTCTATCAAGTTTTATCTCCTACGGGAAATGCAATAATGCACTAAGTTGCACAAACATCTAATTTGCTAAATTCCAGATTCTATTCCATAATTCAATCCTTCCTGTTGCAGATAAATTCTTAGAATAAGTTAAGCTCGCTAAGAAATTTTCTCGCTTCATTCATTAATTCAAATGATTTTGTCCTCAGTCCTGATACATGTATGTAGCTTTTTATCCGCAAAAAAGTGCAAAGACAACTCCAAAATGTTTTGGGAAGAACATATTTCCTAATTTTGAGGTGTCATGAAACATTTCAGAGCACAAATAAAAATCAAATTTAGTCTATTGCCAATATGAAACGAGAGGGAACAATATCACATAAAATAAAAGGCTATATATATGGCATAGCACAATAAATGCAATGCAATAGCCTAATAAACGAATATAGAATATCCAAAAAACATACCTTTGAGGCGTGGAATCCATGGCATAAGATCACTAGATTCTTTGATCCTGTAGAATGCAGCACACCTACAAGTTTCTCTCCATATTTATTTGAAATTTCAAACCTTTGTTTAGACGCTCCTGAAAAAAGACGGATAAAATTATTCTCATTTATGTCAAGATAACAAGAAACAAACGAATGTATTTACATAGGCTTCTACGTCTTAGAGTAAATGTAAAATAATCTTTACATCTTTAAGCTTTGAGGTGGATAAATAAATAAATACAATATATGAAATGGGCTTCAAGTCAAATCAAGTCAATTATGCAAAAGTCTAGACTTGCTCAAGAAAAAGAAATTTGAATTTGATGACTCCCTAGCCTAGTGAAATTATGTTTGCAAAGTTCAAATCCCAACTTGAAATGGCAAAAAGAAATTAAGCAAAGGTTTAATCAGAAAAGCAGAATTTCATTGCACCAAATTGTTGGGGTTGATATCTTCTGTGAGACCCCAAACGTTAGAAAAATATTGCATTAAAAATATATCCGCGTAATTGGGTATCTAAGTAGGATTGACACTTTTAAAAAAGACATATATCTGTGGAGAACATGTGTCAGACATAGGCAAGGCTCCAACACATATCCAACACTACAAAAAATATGTTCGAATTTTTTTCGAACCCAGACACACCTTGACACATCAGATACGTGCTTGACACGATTTAGGAAAGAAATAGACACAACAACTAGAAATTTGAAGTCGACTCCTCTCTCATCATGTCGAAGTTTTCTTTAACATTCATTGAAGTAGGGTCATTGAGGCCGAGAGTCAAAGATGCATCCAACATTCATCAATGCCTACCATTGACAATTCCCTCATTGTTCGTCGAAGCCAAACGTCAAAAGGTCCATCTTGGAGTCGTCGAATTTGAGCGTTGGAGTTCCAATTTGTTCATCGAAACCATAACTACACTTGCTAAAGCGGAGGTCGTAAGCTTCTTTACTGCAACTTGAGCAAGAGTCAAATCTATTCGTTGAAGCTGATCAAAATACCCTGCGACATTTGTGCCAAAGCTTCTATTTGTCGAAGTCGAATAAGTCAAAGCTATACTAGTTCTACAAGTGAGATTTTATATTTTTGTTGTGCTCTTTAATGAGTTAATAGTTATAAATATATATTTCATATATTTATAAAAATTAAATTTAAATTTAATTAATTGAACAAGATGTAATCATATGAAGCTGAAGAATTTCTTTTGAAATACATAATAGGTCTAATTTTGAAATAGTTGATTTTTTAAAGATGAGGTTTCATAATACAAAATTAAATTTTATTCTTGCATACTTTGTTTTATGACGTTTTTAGTAGAGAAAAATGAAAATATATATGTTTATATTAATAATTTATTAAATCTAAAAAAATATGTCCATTACGTGTTATGTCGAACTTTTTGCGAATATATTATGTTCATTTATCATGTTGGGTTGTATCTATATTCCCTTACATAAATTTGTGCTTCATGTTTGGGTATCATTAGGGATTTTTCTTTTTTTTCCTTATGGTATTCTCCTATATCCATATTTATTTGCCCTCTTACAGTCGATGAAGAAAAAATTGTTTTCTCTTAACATGACTACCAAGAAAAAAAACTTTAGTCGATTACTAAATTGATCTCATCTCTTATCCGAATAAAACTTTCATCTCATACCCTAGACGCCCCCACTCGCATGCACATACCTCTTGTCCATTTTCGTTGCCACATGCATGGCTTCTCATGTGCATGCTTGCACACAATCAACTGCTACACGATCTGCACATGCTACATTATTGCCCGATGCTCGCCGATGTTGTCACTACCTTTCTTTGTCACTTACAAACACTTCAAAGTATTGTTGCAACCCGCTGACATGCTTCCTAGTGTTACATCCATTACTACACCTTCACACACAGTGCATATCATTCTTACCATTGTTTGCACCTTGCCACACTAGTTGGATTATAGACTTAGCCCACCACCTAAAGCACTTCTTGCTATCTCTGTGGTGGTTGGCTGTCGGATAATCATTGAGGAGAAGATAAAGAAGAATGTTTGTAATGTGTAAATTGGTTCTTAAATGAGAACAATAGATGGTATCAGATAGGCATTGCTTGAGGAGAGTGATGAGATTAGAGATGGCTTCAGCAAGGGTTAAAATGAGTTCTAACTCTTGGCCTCGTACGATGAGGGGATGGCCAAATATGGAGGTGGAGTAAAGCCTAGAGAATTTTGGGATTTCTAGGGACTGGCCATCCCTAGATTTAAATTTAGGCTATAATAAAAAAAGGGACAGTGAAGAATAGACTCGCAGCCTGTACCAAGAAGGGATTAAGGAGTAGGGCGGTTGTGGCAAGGTTGGAAGGGTGCAGGGATGAGAAGAGATAACCATGCATCCTGTGAGAGAGGCTAGGTCAAGAGGAAGAGGAATAATTTAACCAAAATAACTTGCAAAAGGTTTTCAATAAAAAGAAATCACCTACTTATTAATCCATAGATACAACAAACAACTAAAGTTTGCAATAATTTTATTCAATATCGATTAGGATTATGGGAGGCTTATATTTATAGATCTACAAAACCTATATTATAAGCAAGGCGAGGTTGGGGGTTATCCAAAGCAATTTAATAAGTTTTGAACAAATTCTTATTATTTTATTCGCTAAAATGGTTAAAGGAGGCCGCCATTAAGGAAGAAGAGTGGCATTTAGTTTTCAGCAGAAGTTGAGATCTAAGAAGGAGAGTGAATGTATTCTAACTTCAATGTGCTTTAAACTTTGTATATGAATGATGAGGAAGATCTTCATGCTTGATACAAGACTCTTGTTAAAGCTTTATAAGGTTCGTCCAAAAGTTCTCCCACAAGTTGTTAATCAGTTGATAAACTAGATCACCTACAATAAGGTTGGTCCACAAGTTTCAAGACTTTATAATTCCTTCATAGGATTAAAGATTTTCTGCAACAAAAATAAGATTTGTAAGCATGTAAAATTCAAAAGAATAGATATTATATCGAATTTTCTGGTAATCTTGATTGGGTCACAAGCCCATAGCGAGGCTTTGTATATTTTGTGGTTGTTTGAAATGAACGAGAATTTAAACATAACCATTCTCACTATATTCTATTGATGAATGCTTATAACATGCATCTTTGGCATATTTATCATTGTCCCAATTTATCACCTCATATGTGCATAAAGAACATGAAAGTCACATAAAAAATAAATGCAATATCAAAAATGTATGAGATGGATTTAACAATATCGATTAGCCTTTTATAGCTATTAAAATTTTCAAAATGAGTTGCCTTCATGGGACTTTAACTATAACTATTATAAGGAAATTTAGAAATAGGTAAATGATGGTCTCAAGTATCTATAGTTTTACCCGCTAAGCATCGCAAATAATTACTTAAGATATTGGATAGTTAAACACATAAAAGCCATCATCTTGTTATTGTCAAAGAATTCATATGAATTTTCCACATCAATTATATGGGATGTAATCTAAACCGTCTACTTATCATCAATCAAATCCCTTATCCACTTTAAGACTTATTAAAAATTAAATAAGACTAAAAAACATAATTCTATGTATCCAAGTCATTGAGAATTTTATATCATTATATAATCTTTAAAACATTGAAGATATTACTATTTGAATGACGTTTTTTTGAATTATGGTGGTCATGCCCTTAATTCAGTAATAAACAAAAAAAAAAAAGATAATATATAGCCAAATTAGCAGAATTCTTACAAGACTTCTCTTTTGATATGAAACATAAATTTGAAAGAGAATAAATATTTTGTTTCTTTATTACATGTTAACATAGTGACTTCATCTTTAGAGTTTAGATGTCTAAATTTTTAGAAGAATAAAGAAAATTATAATCTTTTCCTGGATGTTCACATCATTTATCATGAACATCTAGATAACTCCATTTTTATGTGGAATATTGCTCCCTGTTAGGTGGCTCAGACCACCGAACATATGGGCCCCACAAGATCAATTTGTGGATGTTACTAGAGGGAGTTTCCTGTTTCAGTTTTATTCATTTTTATTTTGTTTCTCAATATTTTGTATGTATTTACTTTATTATTTATTTTGTATTTGGTAAGTTATAATAGCCTTTGTTTTGTTTGCCCTAGACATTCCCTATATAATGAGGGGAAAAGTTGTAATTTGGAAATGATGGAATAAGAGAAAATAGTTTCTTCACCTTACTTCATGGTATTAGAGCTCTAATTCGATTTCACGAGAGATAACATCGTTCATCCTTTTATTCCTTGTAGCATAAGTGTTTGGTCGTCTCTCCTGTATGCACGAACCGTGCTCTTGTCTTACAACAGGGCTTCAGGGATTGCAATCTATCCTCCATTCTCAATCTCTTGGTGGCTTGTCTTTTCTGTTCGACAAGTTCGCAGAAGATAGAAAACGGGATCACAACATACAAAGACCTCTTAGCTTCGTTTGTCTCTTTTGTGTGTGTGAGTCGCAGGCCTCGTTCAAATAGAATCATCTCCAAAGTTGTTCGATCCATTAAGCCTAGCTGCAGGCCCTCCTTTTGCCCTCTCCTACACCGGTCGAAGCCTCTCCAATGTCATCCAGCAGCCGGAATCCTCCCTGCAACTATCGGAATTCCTCCAGCTAGCATGCAAGCCCTCCTTTGCTCCTTATCATAGCTGTTGGACTCTTCTTTGCCACAAGCAGTAGCCAACTCCCTGATTCAGCCCTATACATGCATATGGTTTATGCAAAGTATGGAATGAAGTTGTCTAACTCTACTTCGGAGGTTAGTTATGAATCAGAGACCGGTAAATCTATCCAAACAGCCCCTGAATTCTTTATCGTCATCACAAACTATAAACTGAATGATCAGATCTTTATTCAATGAACTTAGTCTGTGTTTATGTACATTTGTGGAAAAGAAAATGAGAAACATCTCACAGAAGAGGGCACAATTCCTTAGCTCACTGGTCCTAACCATCTGTCATTAAGATCTAGGATCATCTGGTCATGTCATGATTGATCAATTTTATGACTACAAAAGTTTGAGAACATTTCTTACTTTACATGACAACACATGGGATTTGGGAAGCAAATCGT